TAAAGAGAAGACATGTGGCTATCTATGTCAAAAATTAGATTGTCCGAATGTCATATAATAATGGCCGCAGCTGTCATGGAATTGAGCTATTAAAAAATTATGATAAATCATTTTTTTTTTCAAATGGAAATCCACTTTTTTTATTTCACTCGTGAAAAGGCTTTCGATTTTAAGTTATTTAGCTTTAAAGCGTATATTTTTCTTGATTTTAACCAGTAGCATATGACAGTATATTATTGATCATCATTTCCAAGCTAACTTTGCGCTGTTTTTTTTTTCGATCGTACAGTATATTATTAAAATATCAACTATTAGATATTACTAAAGAACGAAAATACGACATATATTTATATAAATACACTTTTTAAACTTTTAAGCAGCATGTAGGAAATTCAAATAATTCATTTTCTGACAGATGGAAATAAATTGTGTGACTGTTATTATAAAATCAAGAAAAATATACCTTTTCAAACTAAATCTTAAATAACTTAAAAACGATTTATTTTCCGTATAGGAATATGTCTAGTTAAAACGTAACGAATTGGAAAACCTTTTCACTAGTGAAATAAAAAAAGTGGGTTTCCATTTGGAAAAAAATATTTATGATAATCTTTTAATCGCTCAATTCCATGACAGCTACCTCCATTATTATATGACATTTGAACAATTTAATTTTTGAAATAGATACCCACATGTATTTTCTTTATGTCATAGGGGCTGTGATAATCACTAAATTTGACTTTCAGGCTGTACAATTTTTTTTGACAGGTAGTTTTTTTCGTCCAAAAATTTTAAATATTTTTTTCTTAAACATGCTTCCAGGGACAAAATATCGCGATTTTGTAGGTCCTCCAAGATCCGAGGGGCCCCTTCGCTGTCTCAGGCCCGAGGCCCCCGTTATACTAAAGACTTCACTGCTCATCATCAGTAATGAAGCTAGAATACAAGTTATGCTGTGCATTGGTTGTAATTTAAAAGTTTTACTCAGTAAAAATAAATAATGAAACCATTGAAAAATAACTAAAAAGCTAAAATGAATAAACTCCGTCTCAAAATATATAAAAAATAATAATTATTCGATATTTTAAACAAAGAAAATTACCCCTTGATTTAATTTCCTAAATATAAAATGCCATTGACAATTACTGGGGCCTGATAATTGATAATTAAATAAATATCTACTTCCATTTATACTGTTTATAGTTGGCGTATACGTATGGATTGCATACTCCACCTACAAACTGCTTTATAACTACTGGACACATATTGGCCTTGTTTGTCAGCTGAAAAAAAAATTACTTAAGATTCGGAGGCCCCCTAAAAGACGGGGCCCGGGGCGGACCGCCCCTTCCGCCCCCCCCTTAGTCCGCCACTGGGCTTCTGTCTCAAATTCAGTTAAGTTGATTTATGTTTGAAGTGAAATTTAAGTTACCTAAACTTTTTTCCTTACTTGTATTCATGTTAATTTTTTCAAGACCGATTACTTAATAATTTGATGTTATTTATATTAAAAATCTCAATTGTTTATCCATTTTTCTTTGAAGAACCATCCTTTGCTTTCTGATTTGATGAACTGCACCACCATTGAACAAAAATTAGTCAGTACCGAAAGGACCGAACAAAATGGGAAATCCCGGCTCCTAAGAGGCGCGGTACCGAAATTCCCAGTTCCGAAAAACAGCTCCGGTTCCGGAAACCCTAGTCGAAATATACTTCCTCCAAAATTATATGCAGTTATTTATGACTCACCCTGTATAACTAATATTAAAATTACAAATTCACTACATTAATAGTGGTAAATTTTGAATTTGAACATGTTTTAACACACTTTCTTTTTTGGTTTTTATTTTCATTTTTAGATCTCTTTAAAACACAATACCTAACTACAGGTTATACTTTTTATTAAAAAAAATGTCTTTATCGTTAACAATACGAAAGAGGAATATTTAATAAAACAAAAAGTATATCTTAAATCAGATTATATTATAAAATCTCTTAGATGATATGATAAGCGATTAATAATGCTTACATAAACAAATTTTGATTAAGTTGTTCAAGTAAAAGACAAAATACACAAAAAAATTAAACTAACAACATTTAAATCTCGCAAGTACAAAAATATAAATATAAAATAATATACTGATATATTTAGTAAACACGGGGATATTATAAATACACAAAGACACTGTAATTATAATGTAGTTCATATTTATGTCCTTAAATAAAAATTATTCAATCATAAAATTATTCATACGACTAGCTGTGCGACTAGTTTATAGGTATATACATTTTATATGATGCTATACACTTTAAGAAAGGTAAGCCTATTTTATTTGAGCCTATTTCATTTGAGAATTTTTCATTCAAATGGAAATATTTGGTCAGGGTGAGTCCAGACCATCGTAGGAAAAGCTGGAAAGAAAATTTCTAGTAATTCTTTTGGCTGAAAATTTTCGAAAATTTATGTGTCAAAAATTTTAGCCAATAAAATTGCTACAGATCGATACGCTGATCCACCGTTCTGCTTTTCTAAGATGTTGTGGATTCAATCTCCAGTCTTTTCTTAAAATATCCTAATTAATTTGATAAGACTGAATTTGACTTCTTAATAATATAAACTTTAATCAGGTCTAAACCTATAGAATTCTATAAATATCTAAACAATTAGATAAATGTTAAAATTCTTAATCTAAAATTAGGTAATTTATAAGAAATTAATAATTAAAAATTTTTAAAACATATTTCTGACAAACAGGAACAGAGTATTGTACTTTCATATTAACAAATCACAATTATACACAGACTTACTACTCTATCAACTAAAACTTACACGCAATCTCTTTAAGAAATACCTTTCCACCTATGAACATGTAGTATAGCTTAGAAGAAAAGATGAAATAATTTTATTTTTGTACTATAAAAAAGTGGTTCAGAATCTGATTTTGCGTCTATGTGTACTAAGTTTCATAAATATACAAAGACACTAAAATATATAAATTAAACGTATAATAAAATAATCATTTTTGGAAAAATAATTTAAATAATACTTTTGTTGGTATGATTGATTTGGGTTGTAGTTTTTCTTTTCTATAAACCATAAGAAAATTGACTTTTTTATATTTTTTAGGACTAGTCTATAATGAAAAGATATATTAGGAAATATTCTTGTTGAATTTACATTGTTTGATGTAATTTTATCCATTTTGAAAATCATCCGAAATATGTCTTTTTAAATCCCTATATATTTATGAACTTGTCACATAATATAAGTTTTTTTTTCAATAACTCAATAATATTTTTTTTTCAATTGTTACGCTCTTTTGGTATACCCTGTACATATGTTTCTACAACAATGTGATTGTTATTACTAGAAAAAATCAGTCCATATTAAATAATAAAAATCTAGTCAAACACATACAGGGTGACAATTTGAAAATGAACAGTATTTAATAATCCCTCTACCGATGATAGTATGAAAATTTGACGAAACACGTCAATTTACATATCAAGGGGGACAATTTTTGAGGCATTTGTTACTTTCAACCCTTTGACCCCCAGGGCACTTACCCCTAAAATTTTAAATAGCAACCCCTATTTCTTTTACCATTTTTGTGTTTCTTATAGACATAAACTGCATTATTTTTTTGAGAATTTTATAAAAAATACAAAAATGGTAAAAGAAATAGGGGTTGTCATTTAAAATTTTAGGGGTAGGTGCCCTGGGGGTCAAAGGGTTGAAAGTAACACGACAATAAATGTCTCAAAAATTTTCCCCCTTGATATGTAAATTGACGTGTTTCGCCAAATTTTCATACTATCATCGGTAGAGGTAATATTAAATACTGTTCGTTTTCAAATTGTCACCCTGTATAGACCCTAACCAGGTGAATTATAAACCCTACTCTCTTATACAGGGAGTTTCAAAAAATAGGTGCTATCTCTCGTGGGGATATTTCTCACGTAAAAATAAGATTTATTGTTCATATCGACATAGGTCCGATTCTGCTTTGTTTCGTAGCTACAGTGTGTTAAAGTCTTAATAATCTTTCGATTTAAGTATTATAAATTTCTTCCATGTACTTTTAGTGATTTGAATGAAATTTTGAGGGTAAAAGTTTACTATAAGTGCTACATATTTTAATGCTAAAAAAGTGGCGATAAATTCATCAGAGGCGTGCATATGGGTTATCACTGAAATGTTTTTCAAAAAAAAAACATGTGCACCACTGACTTTGACATCTAAATTATATAGGCCGTTTAATTGTTAACTGGCGAAACATCAAAGAGATAGTTTTTAACTTTTTAGTTAAAAACTATCTTTTGATGTTTTGTCGAATTTGGCCTCCTTGATGAGATAAACGCAATTTTATTAATGACAATAATTAATAAAATTAACAAATTATATATCTTACATAATTTCTTATTAAATATTATTACTATTAGTTATTATTGCTATTAGTCCAACCTACAGCAATTTCAAATAAAAAAATAATGCTATTTAAGGTAATTACAAAAAGCCTAATTTTAAGAAGTTTTAATATCTTGTAACTCTAAAACTATGAGGAATATATGATGAGGAATCAATGAGTACTTGTTTAAAACTTTCGCAAGTTAATGACATTAGGCTCAGATTAATAAATTTGCTTGACTTGGATCAATGCAAATTAATAAAATTGCATTAATACCATCAATGGTATCGACATAATATTAAGAGACTAACAAGAGAAAAAAGGTAAATGGCGTACAGTTTTTTTTTAGAAAAATATGTCCCTGGTGAATATTTCGACACTACTTTAGCTTTAAAATATGTCACATTTGTAGTAACTTTTACTCTCAAAATTTCATTCGAAACGCTAAATGTACTTGTAAGAAAATTATAATATATCGAAAAAATATTAAGATTTTAACACTCTGTAGCTACAAAATAAAGCAGAATCGGACCTTTGTTGATATAAAAAATAAACTTTATTTTTAAGTGAGGAATCTTCCTATGAGAGATGGTACGTGTTTTTTGAACCACCCTTATAAGCAACAAAATCTCATTCAGTATTTTGCTTCCGTTTATTCTGAAAACAGCGACAGCTTCAAAAGCTACTGCCACAATAATTTCCAATTATGTAATTGGAAAATTTCAAAATCGTTTCCGTTTTTTTGTATTCTGTAATATTTACGCTCAAGCCAGCGTTGATTAAATAAATGTTTTTACTGAAATAACGATTATTATCACAGACGGCAGAAATAACATATGTTTTCTAAAAATTGACAGTTCTAGACAAAATGATATTAAAGGATACAGCTTAAAATTGTTTGTTTCAAGCCGAGAAGTGAGATTCTCGTATCCTAATATAGTAATTTTTTAGATTTTTTTAATTTGATAATTATACGGCCTTTTCATTCATTTATCAGACTAGTTTTTTATTAATAAAAATAAAATAAATATGACAGTATAGAAATAGGAGTTGATCTATACTGTTGTTTGAAATAGAAGTAGGTATAGTTGATCTATGACGTTTTAAATATTAAATCTGCGTACAATAGATGTATAACTTAGATGAATTCATGAAACTTAATGCCACAATTCTGAACAATTTCAACTATAGATTCACTTATTCATAGGATAATAAGGCTGATGATACATTAGATCAGAATTCGTTTGCAAATTTGTCTTTAGTAATTCTTATGAACACTGTAGGTTATGTTCGTTTACTATTCGTAATAGAGGTTCATATAAAGCTCAAAAATAAAAGCAGTTACTTAATTATATATTCTCATTGCTGTAATGTCTTTTATTGGAAAAAAATAGAAGAAAATGTTTGAAACTATTTTTTATCTACAATATTCTAAAAGATTACTTGGGAAAAGATAAAAAAATATGAATATTCAAGAATGACAATCAGATTTAGAGAATACGAAGTAACGATGTTGAATATCATTCGTCATCACTACTTCAATATTTTGTAATCTGATGAAGTCATGAATTCGGACCCAATGTATCCGCCGTCTAATATTTAAAATATGCAAAATAATTCAATTCGACAGTCTACAGGTTTAATTTGATCTAATGTGAAGATCTAGCAACGTGCAAGAAGAAATTAATGCTATTTTCACATTCTTCGCCGCACATTTTACAAGTGAACGGGTTGCCGAAACCGTGATAACTCATGTGAATTCTAAACATTACCTCCTCGCTAAATCCGATGTTACAGTCATAACAGTGGAACCCATATTGTCCAGCATTTTCAGCGCCTTGAACATTGTTTTCGTTGTGATTTCTATTAGACGTTTCTGATGAGTTCAAAACAGTAGAATCATGTTGACTATCATGTACAACTTCGACATTAGGAAACGCGGTATTCATTGATTCCGCTTCTTCGCAGTCAACTTCTGAACATTTGCTGGGTGGTTGACTCAAATCCAGAACACCTTCTTCGTTTTCAGATTTCATCTGATTTTGTTGTTTAGCCCATTGCTCGAAATTTTCTTTAATGAACTGGAGTTGTTGGAGCAATTCTGGATTGGGTAAGGCGACTGGAAAAGCGGGCAACAGTGGCAAAGGAAGCGGTACCATTCTAGGTTGATTTAGCAGAACCGGATTGCATGGTAAAGATGATACATACGGATGCTCGGATTTGGGCGATGGTGATTTTGGTAAAACCGAAATCGTGGATGGGAGTGAGGGTCTCTGCGATCTAGGACCGCGTTTGTTTCCGTAGACGTCGATGAATGATTCTGGATTAGGCCTACCGTCAGGCTTGAGTACCACCCCAGGCTGATGCCCTCTTTTTCGTAAATGCATCTTGAATATATGAAGGTGTTTGGTACAGTAAGGACAATCTGCACATCGGTACGGGTAAATTTCCCAGTGTGTTTTCTTGTGCGATTGTAACATAGATAGTGTTAAACTGCTATAGTTGCAAGAATCACAATGGTGAGGCTTGATTCCCTTATGATGGTTAATGTGATAATCCATATGGTGTTTATATTTAGTGACAAATGGGCACATCGAACACGTTAACAATTTTTCTTTTTCAATGTGGATTCTTAAATGTTCCCAGTAGCCCCCTTTGGTAATAGCAACATATGGACAGTGTTTGCACTTGTGCTTCTTGACTTTTCCCTTTGAATTGAATTTGGGTTGGTTAATGTCTGCTTGGTCATTATTACTACAATTTTCGAGGTGTTGACTCGACAGATCCATGTTGTTCATTGATGATTCGCTATCGGCTGCGGAAGTTGATGGCATGGATAAATTATTATTGTGATATGCGTATGGCCCGTAATGTCCATCTTGTGGTGGTGGTGTATGGAACCTCTGGTCACCACTTCCCGCACTTTCGAGCGAAGCTGATGGCCAGTCGCTTTCAGATGTGAACCCCGAATAATTTCTGGTACTATCAATTGGTTCCTGTTTCTGGAAAGAAAGAAACAAAAGCGTATATATTTTTATCTTGGTGGTGTTTGGAGCAAGTTAAAAAATATGCATGTGATTATAACGTCGAAACCATGTTTTAAAATGTTAAAAAAACCATAAAATTATTTCAGTTCAATTGTTCAATGTTACTGAAAGAGTGATACTAGTTATCCAAAAAAGTGATACTTTAACAATTGAAAAAAATATAACGTAAATCAAAATTAATAATAACCATCTATAAAGTAATGCAAACAAAAATATATTAATATAGAAATGCGTTTTGATATTTCGGACTTATTCAACCACATTTTCATGTTTTTGGTTTAAATTTTCTATAAAACGGTATATAAGTTTGGAGTATAAACTGGAACAACCATTTTAGAACAAGCGAGCGTTTTTTTATAAAGAATCGATTTCTCTCAAAACGTTAATAATAAAACAAAGATCCGTATGTGAAAACGATCCAGAGACATTATAGAGTGTCCGTCCTATTTAGAAAAAAAAGTTAAAATAATTGACGAATAGTCCTATAAAAATTGGGCTTTTAACCAAAGTTCTCTTATGAATAAGCGTTAAAAATAGATTACAAAAAAATATATAATATAAAAAGTTGATTTTCTAAATCAAATTTCCATTTATTTCAAATTCAAAAATTTAATTCCAAATCGACAAAAACATTGTAAATAAATTAAATATTATTAGAACCGAAATTGTTTTATTAAAAGACTATACCTACAGGGCGTTTCATTTAACGATGTGTTTTAGAGCTAAAAAAGGGTGGGCATATTTCAATATTTTTCCAAAAAAAATGCGCGCCACTGATTTTTTTTCCTAGGGAGCAAAATTATGTAGGCCGTTTAATGCCGATTGAAGTATCTTAATATTAATAATTAATTAATATTTCGATCTCCTTCATGAGATAAACGAAATGTCTTTTATGTCAAATTAATCATTATTACTAAAATAAAAATAAAATTAATAAATTATTTATTTCATCTAATGTATTATTACATTTTATTAACATCATTTATAACAATCAGTCCTACCTGTAAAAGATTTAACATTGTGTAACTTTAAAACTATGCATTTCCGCGCGTTTATAGGATTTTTTTTTCATATTTTTTTTTGTTCGGGAATCAAATAACACTTTGATTAGTTATTTAATTTTTGATTTAATTGATTCGGATTCAGAGAGATTAATAAAAGTGTGTTTGTGTCATCAAGGAGGTCGAAATCGAAGAAATATCTAGAGATAATTTTGTGCAACATAACTGTGCCAATAAAAGAAAAAAGTCAGTGGCGTACAGTTTTTTTTAGAAAAATATTTGAGTCATAACCTATCTGCATGTCCCTGGTAAATTTGTCGATACTTTTTTAGCATTACAGTATGTCGCACTTACAGTAACTTTTACCGTTAAAACTTCATTCGAATCGCTAAAAGAATTTGGAAAAATTATAATAAACCGACAAATAAAAAGATTTGGCCCCCATATATGTAACACTATAGTGAGATGTTTGGACTGCATCTCAATGTCTCCAAGACCAAACTATTGGTCTTTTCTAAGACTCCAATAAATGCACACCTGCGTGTCAAGGGACAAACAATCGAACAAGTGACCTCAATAAAGTATTTAGGAGCTAACATCAATAGTCAGTGCGACCCGAAAAGAGAAATATTTTTAAGAATTGAGCAAGCGAGAAAAATCTTCGTGGGAATGAAATCATTTTTTACAAGAAGAGACCTCAGTGCGGATCTCAGAACTCGAATGGCCAGATGCTACGTCTTCTCTGTATTACTCTATGGATGTGAGAGCTGGACACTGGATTCACAGACCGAGAAGAGAATAGAAGCCTTCGAAATGTACAGAAATACAGACGGATGCTGCGAATCTCATGGGTACAAAGGATCACCAACAATGAAGTACTCCAGCGCATGCAGAAACAAAAAGAGATACTGAACACCATCAAGGAAAGAAAAATGCAATACCTGGGTCATGTGATGAGAGGTGGTAGATACGAAATACTGCGCCTCATAATAGAGGGCAAAGTGCAAGGGAAAAGATCAGTAGGAAGACGCCAGAACTCATGGCTAAAAGATTTGAGGAGATGGTTTGAACGCTCGTCTGCGGAAATCTTCCGGGCTGCAGTTTCCAGAGCCACAATTGCCATTTGGATCGCCAACCTTCGGCAGGAGAGGGCGTGATAAGAAGAAGAATATGTAACAAAGCGGAATCGGACCTATGTTGACATAAAAAATGAATCTTATTTTTACGCCAGGAATCCCGAAACTAGAGATGGCACATACTTTTTAAAACACTGTATTATTTTTTTGGTAAATATTAAGAGTTTGTAAACATAAGTATTTTTAAATTTACAATCCCATGTAAAAAATGAGAAAATATTATCTTCCCAGATGATTTTATACAAAAATTGAATTTAGCGCGCCTGAAAAGCTTTGGGCGAGTCTGGCAAGGCTTTTGGGATGTTCCACATTAGCCAAACTATATTTGCAGTTGTAATTATAATACACAGCTCCAAATATAGTCTGGTTAATGTGGAACATCCCACTAAATTATTGTAATTATAATATAAAGGTGCCCGGTGGCGCAGAGGTACAGCTCTAGTCTACCAATCTAGAGGTTGTGGGTTTAGAATCCTACAGCCGGCATTTCATCAGCCACCTATTTTTATTATAATAAAAATAGCTTTGCTTCCTAGGTTGACGCAGCCTTAAACGCCTCCTACTTGGGATTCACAATCCTGAAGTAATAATAGACGGTTGAAGGGTAGTGCTAGCCACATTACCTTCCTTGTATACCGAACGGCTTTAGCATGGCAAGCTGTACCTTGCTACTCCCAAGGCATTAAACGCTATACCGGGTGCGTCTTAAAAGTGGCTCACCCCCTATAACATTTTTATTTTTTCAGATAAAAAATCGAAATTTGGTATGTCAGTATACGACATAAATTAGGATTGATTGACGCCTTCAATTGTTTTAGGTCACTTCATGTTTCACCGGATATGTCCAGAACTTCTGATTTTTAAATGGCACCGTTGGGTTGGTATTTTGTTACTTTATTCGATAGAAAATGACACTCTGAAGAGAATGACATATCATATGTCAACTTTTGACATTTTCGAATATGATTTATTTTAAATTGCAACATGCGATTCATAACGACAATTTGACTGAAAATACCAAGTGTGTGGTACCAAAATATTCGCTATGCTAGTGAGCCACCCCCGTTTCATTTGAAAAAATTGAGATATGATTAAAAATACGTAGACGATTAAATTTATTTTTTCAAGGCTCCTTGATTAAAAATTAGTGTTTTTAACGCAGCCATGTAGTGTGTTACATTCTAGATTGAAATTTAAAATGCAATTTTGTATTAAGCGAAAATGTCAAAAGTTGACATATAATATGTCAATCTATTCAAAGTGTTCCTATTCACTTCCCCTAGGAGATGCACTTCCCCTAGGAGATGAAAGACCTTGTCGTTGGTGGGGAAGTTCCTGGTTAGGTGCTGGGGGGAATCCCCCCTAGCACTTGGCTTGGTCTAAAAAGCATCTCACTCATCGTCTTGTCCCTGACTGTAGTGTCGTGGCCAGGGAATTGCACCAAGACATATAACGATACCAGGCGGGGCTACGGACAGCCTCAACCTTGGGGCACCGGGGGGTACCCCATTGTATTTTACCCCTTACTTCTACATGCGGGGCTCTGTAGAAGTGGACCGACTGTCCCTAGCGACTCATAGGAACACTATGAGATCTGGTAATAATAGAACAGTAACTGGGAACAGTAACAATGAAAGTTCCAAGGGGCCAAACCCAAAGAGAACTACAGGAGAGGTGGCTGACACTTGCGTGAGACCATCCTCCGCAAGTGGCATACAAGCTACCACCTCCTCCAAGGGTCGGGAGCCTACCTCCTACCTCTAAACCCAACAGGCGACACAAGCTACCGTTTCGTCTACCCGGCCTAGGTCGTAGCTCCTCGACTGTGAGGGACACGGGTCTCCGTAGGAAGTCCTGGGACTGTATGATGAGTTATAACTCAAGAAAGGGGGACACAATAGATCTCTAAGGTCGCAGAGATTAACCCCCCTCCCACTTATTCTAAATTCAAAGTGTCTGTCTATTCTCTGTCGAATAAAGTAAAAAACTACCGGGGGTGCCATTTAAAAATCAACAGTTGTAGTCATTTCCGGTGAAACAGGGAGTGACCGATAACAATTGAATACGTCAATCAATCCTTATTTATGTCTTATACTAACATACCAAATCTCGTTTTTTTTATCTGAAAAAATAAAAAAAGTTATAGGTGTGAGCTACTTTTGAGACGCACCCGGTATACGGGAGCCCTATTATTATTATAATTATATAATATAAACTATCATTTGACAAATTTTTAAGATTGCGAAATTATGGGCAATGGTTACAATAACTTTTATCCAATTTTTCACCTGCCAGGCATATTAACCATTGTCACTGATTACTTTTGCATAATATCTCTCGCTAAAGGCGCATTCTCACGACTCGTGTACTTGGCAAGTATTTTTTATTGGCATACAAGGTCTGGCGAGAATGCGACGTAGTTCCTATAATAAATAACTTAGAAATTCTGTATAGATGCCCAACGCACCATGTATACCCTGTATACCAATTACAAATGTTTGTCAAGTACACGAGTCGTGAGAATGCGTCATAATAGAACTATTCTTATCGCTGCAAAAAAAGTGCACTGTATTTGTACTTTCTAACTAACGCATTTTCCGCCTCAACCCATCGGAAAACCCTCGTTAAGGTGCATTCACCTCGGCTGCGCCGCGCAAAATATTTTTTTAGCATGTACTTTTGAAGTGTATTTTTTAGCGCGCAGAGAAGTATATGTCAAAAAATTATTTACGCGGCGCGGCGCGGCGCGGAGCGGCACAGCCTGTGAACACACCTTTACATATACATGAAATTTGCTTAGAATCATATACCGAATAAT